CATATATATATACATATATATATATATATATATATATATATAGGTTTTATAGCAAATATAAAAAGGAATTATAAAATGTTTTCCATTTGAAACACAAAAAGCTCTCGTTTAAGTAAGACTGCTGGGTTCGAAAGCTTTATATCTACGCTTCAGAGTGGTTTGGTGGAACTATGACACCGCACGGCAAAGAAGGCCTCAAGGATTTATTCACAGTAAAAAACCATACATTATTAGGACTCCCTTTGCAGCAGGGTGTTGGACAGAATCATACAAACAGAATGATAATAAAACTATATTTTAATTTTAATTTTTACAAAATTCATTACAAAAATCACTAATGTATACTTATAGGTTTTCCCAAAGAGGCAGAAACACGGGTAGTTTTGATTATACGTTTTTTTTTCAGTGTAAATTGTAAATATTTTTTTCCTAAAAACTTATGCTTGGGTGCACTCTCATTTTTAATATGGCTCATCTGTTTGGAGTTGGAATTATACAATTATCATTAAAAATATGTAATCTTCAAAACCAATTTCTTCAATTTTTATTAAATAAAAATGAACGTATCAACACCATTGCCACTACATTTTGCTAATCCTTAATTTATTATTTTACAAACTACGACTACATTCTTACGAAAACTCAAACGCTTGTAGCATAAAAGACGCGTGTGGGGAAGATCTAATCAAATTTAATTTACATTTGCCTATTAAGAAAATTTTTCGTAAAAGTTTTCAGTCTTTTTTCTCAAAAATACTTTAATTTCCTGCCTGTTGAAGTGCAAATAGTTTAAATAATTTTTTAAACTCTTAAAAATTTTTAAATTTTCTCTACCTAACGTAGAAGATGTTTTCTTATAGTAGTTTTATTCACCTTTTATCTTCTTTTTTATCTTTATACGTTTCAAGAATTTATAATGTTGAGATTTTATGACTGGAAGTTTTAACTTGCTTTAAGCAAGACACTTCTAGTTGTCTTTTTTTAAAATTAATATTTTTCATTTATTTGCATTTTGTAAATTTTTTTGCATTTCCTTTCATGTTTCTTTTTCCTATTTTTATTTTTATTATAATATATAAACTAAATTCTGTAGTCGCTAGCATAGACCTACAGACTAAAAAAGAACTTGTTCACTTTATTTCTGTGTTTGTTTGCTCCTTTCCATAATTTATTGGGATTGCATTGCTTTTTTTTCTTTGCCTTTATTTAGTTTATGGTATAAAATTGTTTTTTTAAATAAATAATATCCTGTCAAAAATTAATATCTAAAGTCAAATTGAAAATTAATGGAATGTTTCCTCTTTCAATAATTTCGTCAAATAAATATAAAATAAGAACTGTGTAAATAAAAATTACATTGCAATAACAAGAACTCAAAACTAAAACTTAATGCATGAGTTCAAATGGGCCCTACCAAATATTTAAATGGTCACAGAACAGAGAAATAAGAATAAACCATGTTTAAAAAGGAAATTCCGCAACATTTTCAGGGAAATTTTCTTTTTTTAAAAATACAGTAATTTACGATATAACTACTTTTAATCAGTGAAAAGATTTAATAAACCTACTTAAAACTATTGACACAGACTTTTCTTTGTTTCATGTATAAATTTTTTTAATAATCAAAAACTAACGAACAGGACACTTTGAGCAACAAAAGAAAAACGGAAGAAAAGAATATAAGGTGAAACTCGCCTTAATTTCCTAGACATGTTAAGTAAAGAAAAATTTCTTGTTCGCGTCGAGTTCCTCCAGATGTTAAGCAAAGAAAGCTTTCGGGTATTCAAAAATGTTCTACAGTTGCAATTTACTTGCCTTGCTTCATACAAATGAATCGCAGCGGCTGAGTCTACGGCTGCTGATACACTGTTAGAGATTTCTCAGAAAAATGGTTTTATAACAATTTAATTAATTGTTATTCCACCATATTTAAGGAAAACAGTCAAATTATCGTAATTAAAACGGTAACTGTTACCTGTGGGAAAAACCGTTTATTAACTGTTTTCACCTAATAAGGTTAAACGACCAGAATTTTACAGCACCAAATAGACCCACCTTTTGAAGTCACACAGTTCGTTATAGATTAGTACATATTATAGCCGAGCAGGTTAATCTATCAGTTTCATGACCAATTGAAATGGGATTCGAGTTCCAGCGTTAACACCACAATATTTCATCAATTCTCTTCATGACATGTTTCCACTGTCCTACGTTCCCCTATTTGAGTCCAGAACTCTCCAATGCCCATTATTAATAAAAAGTCTAGATATTTTTAGGTATTTGCCTAGGTATTTATTTTTTACGGTTTTGAAAATATGTTAGTGGTGAATGGTTATAATACAGTATAATTTTGTATTCATGGGTTTATAACTATATTAGTTGTAAACGGTTTCATAGCCGTGAAGGTAAAAAAATGTTCTTTACCGTAAACTATCAGGTTGATCTGATGAACAGACTTCTGCCGGTTATTTTATCATAATTATAGAATAAAAATTCAAACAGTGTCTAAAAAATTTCCTACCTCAGATCGGTTGGGTGCCACCCCCTTCTTTCGTATGGTGGTCACGGATATCTACAGCGGTCACATTTGGGTCCGAATGCGAACGCAAAACTTCCTCGTATAATACTCGTCATTGGTCATCGAACATCTTTTTCTCATCGAACATTAGTCTCTTTGTCTGCATCAAATTAAACTTTAATTTTTTCGTCATCACCTGTACAGATTTTTATTATACCCTATAATATGGAAAAATCTCTTATTTACAAAGATACTGTGTATTTTTTATTATTAGTATCTTTCGCCATTGTTTTTTTTCTCCAGGTCATACTGAAATCCTCTGGCAACTCTGCAAGATTTTCTGTAATGCTTCAATTTTTATAGCGTAATTATGCAGTTGTGTAATTAATTATGTAATTATGCAGTTATAATGCAATAAATATTGACTCACATTTTAAGAAGTGATAGAATTTAGGAACATAATAATTCGTTTTGAACCTTTAGTCGCTCGCAATACTTTTAATGTCTACATAAATAATAAAATAATGTAGTAATGTAAATGTAATAAAAGATAGCGATATCAGACAAACTGTTAAAATAAAATTATTAAAATATTTTTAACCTTTAATTGTTTTCAAATTTTTTACACTATACGAGATAACTTGTAAAACGGAATCGGAAATAAACAGGATAATTAGTTTCCCATTTATAGCAATTAAAAAAATTTAAAATTAAGGAATAGCGAAACAAATGACCTATTTAATAACTTTAAGTTGCACTGCAAAAAATCTCTTAAATAAACATTCTTAAGAATTTCTATTATATGTTTTGTATGTTTTACGCTGTATTATTTCTCCTTCGTTAGTTATAAAAATATATATCAAATATCCTGTACACCTTAAAAAGTACATAGGAGATCAATTAACTCAAAATATTTGGCGCTTACATATTGTCTCGTCAATTACTTTCTCCATATCTGAGGATAAGTTTAGAAATGATTCATATTTAAATATTATCTTTTTTTTTAATGCAATAAGTAATCATCGTATTTTGGCAATTTCTGAACAATAAATTACTATATTAAAATAAATTTGAAACATGCCAAAAATGACTTTGGGGGCAATGTTGGCGAAAATGATTGGCTGGATAAATCATAAGTACCCAATATTTTATCGTATACTTAGCGCTTTTTTTTATAAATACCCAACAAATTATGTTACAAAAAATTCCATAACTATGCCATCAATGAAAAAAAAATTGAAAGCAACCTTTTAAGTAGCATTGTGTATTTCTTCTTCTCTTGCAGTTTTACCTACAGAAGGTCCTCGAATTACGGGAGGTCTACCCAAGTACAAAGTTGGTGATATCGTTCTTGTAAATTGCACATCTTCCAAATCAAAACCAGCTGCAAATCTAGAATGGTACATTAATGATGAACTTATCACTGGTAAAAAGGAGGTAAGAGCAAAGCGCCTGTTAGCAATTAGAGTTATTTATATAGTTTTTTTAAAATCTCTTCTCGAATTTCTTTTACTTTTTACTTAGCATTTTATGCAAGGTTCATATTTTTGGTGAGTTGATGTGTTGTAGCATCTATTATGAAATCGGCTTTACATAATATTTTTAAGCCATTAACATTTTTACTTTTTGTATGGCATATGTCTATTTTTTTACCATCATAATCTGCCTTTTTTACACTAGTGTTAAATATTTCTTTTTTTTTTGATTTATTGATGAACAAAATTACAGTAAAATAATAAAAAAAATGCTTCTAAAATAATTAACATTTTGCTTCCGGCTCTTAGTACTTATGATGAAATTCGCCATTTTTGTCCACCAGTTATACCAGCCGTAAGCAAAATGTTATATAATGTTTCTACTTCTTAATTTTTAATGAAATAAATCTCAATCTTTAAAAGAAAATTGAAAGTTGGTTACGTTTTTCCCTTCTGCATTAAAAATAAATAATTCATATTGAAAATTCTCATGAAACCTAACTTGATTTGACTTATTTTGTTTTCTAATTTTCATGAAAACTAAATTAAATTTTATAGTTCAAACTATACATCATGAAATGATCCTGACCGCCAGTTTCTTTTCAAAGCACAAAACCATAAACTTGTTTTACACGAAAAAAAAAATTCTGGTTAAATTACCACACTGCATAGTAATGGCATGCCATGTGAAAAAAAACATAATTCTGGTTAATTAAGCCGAAATATTCAGTAATCAAACCATTCATTCGGTATTTTTTCATTTATATGGTAACAGTATACGGAAAATTCTAGTTTTCAAAATTAATGCTCCTATTACCAATTTAGTAAAACATAAGGAACTGAAAATTAAATTTAAGCGAATTAATTTCTTTTTTATATTATGCTGTAAAATATCAATACAACCAAATTTTATCGCAGATTACAAGACAGTATTTTATTCTTAGTTTTACCAAAATCATAACCAAAACATTTCGGTGAAACTTACCAATCCATTTGGTATTCCCATAAAGCGAGGAACACGGTAAATTTCACCATATTATGGTAGTTTGACTATACTTTTTTCAGTTTAGAAATGCATATACCTAAATTAGATTTTTTTTTTAACTCTGTTGCAAAATTTTTGAAAATCTTGTTTCAAATCTCAAATCTATTTTTCTTGAATTTTTGTGATTTGTACTTGATAAAACTTTATTTACGAATCGATTATTTTCCCTTTCGTGCTTTTCACACTATTGTAGTGCTGTATGGGCTAGAATATATTAATACAGCATTAAATATAGCTATTTTCGCTGATATTACCATCTGAGCTGATGACAAGATCATATATTTTCGGTATTATTTTTTTCTAATTTTGGTTGAATTTTAAGTTTTTTTAAGTCTTTAATATTTTATCTCCATATATAAACCTGTCTATATACAAACATATCTATAATAAACATGTATTAACAACATTGATTACAAGTCTTTGTCTGTTTAAAAGAGATACATGTACCTCAATTGTTCCATTGTATTTTAGAATAGGTTATTTTAAAGGCAGATAATTTGATATTTATAAATTGATCTTTTTTGGGATGTATTCCAGATACAATTATTTTTTTAAAAAACAGCAGGCATATTAAAAAATTAACTGTGATAAAATTATTTAATACATTTTGTTGAATGAAGACAATGATTCTAAACTCTTCATCAGCAGTTTGGAATCTAGATTCGGTTTAAATTCAAACAACTGAACTATGATGTTTGATCTTAATTGTCTCCTGTTTTCTTTACCACTTAGGTTAGTTGACTCTTCAAATTATTTGACTAATGAAACTTTTCACTAAGGGAACTTGCACTAAGTTTATTGCAAATTCGACTGAAATATTGGGCAAAGGAGAATTACCTTACTGATTTTGATACACTTTAACCCATAAAAACATAAAAACAAATGAATAAAAAAAGAAATTTGACTAAATTATATGATATTTCAGATATAAGGCAATGTGAATGTGAAATCCTTGTTATAATCGTATTTATCATATCTTAGCCAATCAAAGCACGTTGCACGTCGAAAACAAAATGGAAATTANACTTTATTTGCTAATCGATTTTTTCCTTTCTTGCTTTTCACTCTATTATAGTGATGTATGGGTTAGAATATATTAATACGGCATTAAAGAGAGCTACTTTCGCTGATATAATCATCTGAGATGGTGACAAGATTTATTTAATTAACAAGATAAATTATTTTCAGTATTATTTTTTTCTAATTTTGGTTAAATTTTAACTTTTTTAAATCTTTAATATTTAATATCTATATATAAGCATGTCTCTATATAGACACATCTATATATAAACATGTCTATATATAAGCAATCGATACATAAACATGTATTAAAACATTGGTTACAAGTCTTTGTCTATTTAAAACGGATACACGTACTTCAATTGTTCCATTACATTTTTAAATATGTTGTTTTAAAAATAGACAATTTGATATTTATAAAGTGATCTTTTTTGGGATGCATTCCAGATACAATTATTTTTTTTAAAAACAGCATACATATTAAAAAATTAACTATAATAAAATTGTTTAATACACTTTGTTGAATGAAGACAATGATTCTAAACTCTTCATCAGCAGTTTGGAATCTAGATTCGGTTTAAATTCAAACAACTGAACTATGATGTTTGATCTTAATTGTCTTCTGTTTTCTTTACCACTTAGGTTAGTTGATTCTTCAAATTATTTGACTAATGAAACTTTTCACTAAGGGAACTTGCACTAAGTTTATTGCAAATTCGACTGAAATATTGGACAAAGGAGAATTACCTTACTGATTTTGTTACGCTTTAACCCATAAAAACAGATGAATAAAAAAAGAAATTTGACTAAATTATATGATATTTCAGATATAAAACAATGTGAATGTGAAATCCTTTATTATAATCGTATTTATCATATCTTAGCCAATCAAAGCACGTTGCACGTCGAAAACAAAATGGAAATTAAATTTTTTTTTGTGGAAAAATTTTAAATCTCTAAATTTGAGCTGATATATTTGTTTGATAAGTATTGTGTATTTATTTAAAGTTTAACAAAATTTTAAGAACATGAAAGTTATTAGATTTATTAGGTATATTTAAAATATAAGTCCTGATTTCATATTATAAAAAATATGTTATCAAGGTATTTTTATAATGAGTAACCACTTTAAATCGCATAGAAAAATTAAACAAGTAAAAATACGAATACTGTTTGTGAAAGATGCGAAAAGAAAACTGAAACATATATCACAAAATGAAATTTATTTGTGTTTTTAGTCACATTTTAATTCACTTAAACTCTTAAAAAGGTGCGAAAAACATTCATATTATCCATAGAATAATCTAGAGTTGTAACTCAGTCGAATGTAAAGAAAAACATTCTTTGTAAAAAGGTTAGAATGTAAAGAAAAGCATTAGTCTAATTTACATAATTATGATTAATTGTAATTCTGTTAAGAATATCGAAAATATAAAAGAATTAAAATCAATGACAAAATATTCTTTAATTGTAATTCATTTAATTTTATTTCACTTTGTAATTCATACAATGTAATTCAGAACTCATATAACCCATTTAATAGTCTCTAAAATGAACATAAATCAAATATATGAGCAATTCTACAAATAAACGCCAATTAGGCGGCAAAAAAAGTTTGTGGGGGGGGGGCACGCTATTTCTATATGAATTTTCTTCTTTTTTACTCCCTAAAAAAGCAAGAAAAATCGTGAACATGAAATTTTTTCCTTGTGACATACTTTAAATGACAGAATACCAAATGGTTATGATTTATCTGAGTTATTTATTCAGATAAAACGATTTTTACATAAATATATTATTATAATGTCTCTCTAAAATGTATTTATAGAGATTTCATACTATACAATTACATTTTAGCATAAAAAACAAAAATAAAAAAATTTAATCAAAGTTCGTAAATTGAAAAAATCGGGAAAAATTTAAATTTGGTATTTTGTCATTAAAGTATGTCACAAAGAAAAAATTTCATGTTCACGATTTTTTCTTGCTTTTTTAGGGAGTAAAAAAGAAGAAAATTCATTTAAAAATAGCGCGCCCCCCATTTTTTTTGGCCTTCTAATTGGCGTTTACTTGTAGAATTGCTCATATAGTTAACATATTTTGTATATAGTGGGCAATTATAATTTATAAATGAAATTTTAATTGTAGTTCACTTGGTTATAATTCATTTAATAATCTATAAAATGCAAAAGAATTATAATATTATGCTGTAATTCACAGATTAAATCTTTCACTCGATAATTATCCATGATGCAGTTTACTAGTCCTAATCCTACAATCGGTGTGTTGATACAAAATGAGTTATATACATATAAATCTAGATATGTGGGGAAGTTACAGAGAGGGAAATGATTGGGTAATATGAGCTATGTGTGATGCATGAACTCTCAAGGGGGTTTCTGTTCAAACTATTCACCTGCTTATTGACGAGGAGTTATCCTGTAACTACTCCAACACGCGTTCCCTGAATATGTAACTATGTAATACATAGTCACATGTCACGCCTGGAACCATTGTTCGAATATATATTCTATAACATTTCCTATTTGATATTGAGTGAAATACTATATAATACTGTGTTTAAAAGGAAACACTACTATGGTTATTTTCTTTTCAAAAGAAAGGCTTAATGTTATAATGAAATCTGTTGAGTAAATATTAAGCAAAAGCATATGAATCATTCATGATGTTAGACTTCTGCGTGAAAATATCTGCCCGACGATGATATTGATAACTTTCTTCTACTTCAGTATTAGTGTTAAAATTGGATTTTGTAAAATTTGTTTATAAAGCACGGCGACACGTAAGATTTTTTTAAAAACTTTTGTTGATATATTAAACAAAAAATGTCTTAAAATTTCGAGTTTTATTTTTTAGGTTGTCAAGCGTAAACGTAA